CCTTAAAACCCCTGTGGAGGGGCCCCTTTACTGTCATTTTGTCTACCCCCATAGCAGTTAAGGTTGCAGAGATCACTCCATGGATACACCACAGCAGACTGAAACCTGCAGCTGCTAGCTGGAACTGCACCTCTGACCCCTCCGAGCCCCTCAAGATCACTCTCTGAAGGAAGATGGCCAGTGATGTTACCGGTCCTTAGGAGGAGATCATCAGCCCCCGCTTTGGTCACCAGAAGCTGACCAATCCACATGCGGCTGAAGCTTGAGGAATTCTTCCTTGCAAGATGCTTATCCCAAGGACTCTAATCCTTACCCTAACACTTTTCTTCAAGTCAGGGATGGTATCACCACCTCATGCCCTAAATCATGCTTCCAGTCCTTTTGACTAGAAACAGCATCTCAGGTTACAGGCTGTTCTGGAAATAATCACCAATGAAACTGAAACAGCTTTAGAGTTCCTCGCTACCCAACAGACCCAGATGCGGGCCGTTATTTATCAGAACCGCCTAGCACTGGACTACTTACTGGCTGAAAAAGGTGGCGTCTGTGGTAAATTCAATCACTCAGACTGTTGTCTAAGATTGATGACACTGGCAAAGTTGTCTCCGTCATTGCCACAAATATTAGAAAACTTGCCTATGTCCCAGTTCAAAAATGGACTGGATGGGACCCCAAAAGCCTGTTTGGAAGATAGTTCTTCACCCTCTGGGAATTTAAAGCGTTAATTGGAATCATCCTCCTGCCCTTGGGGCATGCCTCCTTTTACCCTGCATTCTCCCCCTTGTCATTTGCTCTACCTCTTCCCTCATAGAGACCATTGTAGAACATAAAACTGCCACTGAGGTCCTCGTGTTATGGAAGCACCAACCTCTTAGACCAGCAGCCCGTCTAAGAAGATGATGCTCTCTAACCCACGTATGGGTTTGAGCATCAAAGGGGGGAATGTGGCAGTGGGCCCTACACAAAGGCTCTCCCAGACCACGTGACCACCAAGAATTCCGCCCTGTAGCAGGGAGCTTTAGACAAAGGCTATCCCGGACTGCATGGCCACCAAGACTTCTTAAATTAACATTTTCTAATTCCTACCTCATCCGGGAACCAGTCAGAACTAACACAATGTCGCATGCCCTAATAAGGACACTTAGCTGCTAACCTGGAAACCTCAGGGTATATAGCCCCGAGTCCTGTCTGGATCGGGGTATGGATATGAATCCACTGAGTCGATGCCGGCATCAATAAACGTTGCCTCCCGCCCTGATACTCTCTGTCCGAGTATCCTGCAACACTGCCATATAAATAGATAAAAAATGTTGTCTCTAATAATAACTCTTATTATGAGCAAGGCCCCTAGTTTAAATTCCGTTAGGTAGTAAAGGGGTGGAACAAAAGCTTCTCTTGAGCTCACAGGGTGGCAATTTTCTTTAGCTCAAAATAAGCTGCATACCATAGAAGCATATGTTGGGGTGACTCATTCTGAACCCCTACCCTACTCACTATGGACTTTTAGTTGATTAAGTGTTATTTCTAGCTGAACACCACAGTATCATTTCTCAAAGCATTTACAGATTTATTAGGAATATGACTGTGTAAACTAGTCAAATGGGTACAGTCCATGTGGCTTAAAGTGTCATTCATTCAAACAGTGGGTAGTGTGTGAACCCCACTATGTGCCAGGCATTTGTCTGAAAATTGAAGATAGAATAGTATAGAACAGAACATGGCCTCTCTCTCAAGGAGCCTCCTTGGCTGGAGGGAATTAAAAGACATTAAAGGAGCAAAGAGAAGGGAGATCTGGGCTAGTCTTAGTTATCACCACTGATTTTGAGAGGCAGAGAGGAATGACAACAACTAACTAACCGTAGAACCAGCCCGTGAAACCAATATTTCACTTACAATCAGTGATGCTCAGATGTTAAGTGTGTTGAGTTTTGGAGTCAAGATTACTTGGGTTTGAACCCCAATTCCACCACTTAGCAGCTGTGTGTGATCTTGGCCATATCACTAAGCCCCAAGTGCCTCAGCTTCCTTTCCTGTGAATTCGAAAGAATACCTACCACGACAGAGATTTAAATTAGATAGTACTGGCAAAGTGTAATGCTAGGCAGTGTTGCTCTATACATTGAGCTCTGTTGTAATAATGGAAATGAGTTGAAATCTGTAGACCAACCAGATAATGGGTGTATTTTTGTTATGTTCAAATTGAGAGTTGACCCATTTAAAAAAGAGTTGCAGGTTTAGAGCAGATGACATTTACCATATTTCTTTAATTCTGGAGCTTGACCTGAGCTACATCTCAGAATCATCTGGGGTGTTTTAAAACTGATGTCCAGTACCAACCACAGAGTCTGATGCAGTTGGTCTGGAGTGTGCCTTGGGCTTCAAGATTTTTAACTATAAATTCATGTGCAGCCAGAGTTGTGACTTACTGGTCTAACTAAATATGGAGAGTGAGCTGATCTGTTCTTGGTTCACAAGTACCAAGGGAGTTATACTCCTTTATATGGAGCTAGAAGTTGTCTTGAAAACAACCAGGGGAGAAGGGAGTCACCTTCACCAACTGGTGCTAAAGAACTGATTGAGGCACCTGTAACTCTAACCCCACGAGGCATTGGTGAGTCTTCAGCTAGCAGCAGTGGGATGCCTGGAATAGCTGGAGTTGAGAGGTGGATTCCAGGGGCAGCTCCACCACAGCCCAGCCAAGAGACTCTGGACAAGTCCTCTGCCCGTTCCGTCTTGGTTTGTCATCTGTGTGAGTGTATGGAGATGAGAGTGTTCTTCCAACATATCCCACAGAGCTGTCTTAGGTGAATGAGATTATGTCGGTAAAGCACTTTATAAAACATAAAATAACATATGAATGAAATAACACACACAGTAGACATTTACACTTTTTGAAACTATAAAAACATCTGTTTTGTAAATTATAGTTTCTTCTGTCCAGAGCTAAGTTCTTCACCACCTCGCTGCAAAGCTACGACGATTGAGACCATTTTCTATAGCAATTTTACACACTGAGTTTCACAAGGGCAATGCTGCAGTGCACTCTATTTTCCATCCTAATCAGTAACTTATCATAATAAACCCTTTGCAAAACACCATCTAGGGTGTGGGTCTGCAGGGTGAAATGACTCCTTTCTGTGGAAAAATAATTACTGTTTTTGTAATGCAAATATAAAGCACAAGGGTCCATGCAACTTCACTGAGGATAAAAAGTAACATGAATTCAAATTAAGGGTTCTAATTATTATAGTAGTGTAAACTGAGTGTGTTTCTTGTTTTGGTTTGGTGTGTGGTTTGGAGGGTTTTTTAGCAGAATTATTTCCCGCCTGGTTATAGTGACTTCATAGAACGATTCTTTTTGTTAAAGAACACAATTCAATTGAGTAAATTTTAAAGATCTTATTGGCTTTTTTCAGGGATTCATGAATCTGGCAGGATCAAATCTAGCAGTTAGAAAGGAGCTCCAAATAGTTACACAATTGGGGAGTGTTTTATAGACCAAAGTGAACAAAAACTAGGAAGTCATATGGGGCAAAAGTGGGTTGATTAATTCAAGGTTACTTTCCTTATATGGAGCAAAGGGAATGTTGGAATAACATTTATTCCAACTTGTGTCGGGTAACTTGTGTCAAGCACTGATTGGTTGATCTGAGCCTTCCTTTTTTGGGAGAGACAAGCATAGAAACTTAGTTAAAAGTTAAAAGTTTTGGTTTGCTGACGTGGGACTTAGCATAAGCGATTCCAGCTTGGGACCAATCTGGTTACTTGGATACTTTCCTCAATCTGATTCGGACTGCCTAACATGTGTGCATTATCGTGTGTTCTTTTGGAGCTGTGTGTGTGAACACCTGGATGCCGACATGGAGCTTGTAGGTAGGGACCACAGGAGACACCTGAAGACTGATCTCTTCATCTCACGCTACAGAAAAAGATTATATGAAAAAGGCGCAGTCCATCTAAGGAAAGGTTAAAGGTACGTTGAGAGAGGCAGCCTAGAGCACAGACTCCACCTAGGTCACAATGCCTGGTTTAAACCCCAGCTTCAATTCTTACCAGTTGAGTGACTTTAGGCAAGTAATTTAACCCCTCTGTGCCTCAGTTTCCTTTTCCACCAAATGGAGTACCTAATTCATTAGGTTGTTATGAGGATTAAATGATTAAAATGCTTAAAACAGTAGCTGGAAAATAGTAAACATTATGTAGGTGTTAAATAAAATATAATTTTTAACCCAGGTTTCTATAATCTGTAATTTACTTTAAGACATATTGGTATAGACAGACTATAGGAGTTTACATTAACTTTACCCTACATCTTAGTGGTGGGAAATTAACCATGAAGTAACCTAATTTGAGAGACTACACTCCAACTGTGGTTAGAGCAGAGCTTCTAATATTACTAGGTAAATCTGCATTAGAAGGCACCACAAGTAAGCTGTTTTATTTATTGTTAAGAAGAAAAAAATTAGCAAATGATGATAACAATAAAAAAGAATTTATTATATAATATGCTTTGTACATCATTTACTTAAAAGTACATTCATTTATTCAACCAACATTTACTATATGCCTATTAACACACATACACTTCCCTCATTTTTAATAGTTGCATAATACATATTCCATTATATAGATATGTCATATCTTAACCAGTTTCCTATTAATGAGGTATTAGATTATTTCCAGTCTTTTCTCTCCACAAATACTACAGTGGTATTCTTATTTGGTTGGTTCATATGCCCATGGGCAAGCATATCTTATCTGAAAAATCACTTTCTGGAAAAGATTCTACCTACTTAAATTTTCTCCAAACTATTATATCTCCTTGCCCAATTCTACTACCATATTATAAGCATTCTTCATTGTTTAAAAATTAAGGGTTTATTTGTTTGTTTGTTTGTTTTTAAGATTTTGTTGTGGAATTGGGGGAGGGGAATGAACAAGTTGCTGTCCTTTTGTTCTTCAGTCTAGTTGTGGAGGACGTCGCTTCACTGGCCCATGTTGGTGTTATCATTGCGCTCTTCCTGAGTGAGGCAGTTGCTCTCCAGCCATTGGACAGCCGCTCACACCACCTGCTGGAAGCTCACATTGACTGCCAGCCACTCATGGTAGGTCATGGCAGCCCACTGCAGCTGGGGCTGCAGCCTACGCCATCGCCAGCGACTCATTGCAGCCCAGCTCCAGGTCAAGCTGTTTTCACCATCTTAGCTGTAGAGAGCACAGCATCACTGGCCCACATGTAGGATCTGAACCGGGGCCCTGCTGCTCAGAGCTGGCATCCCAAGCCAACTCTTTTTTTTTTTTAAAGATTTTTATTGGGGAGTTGGGGGAAGGGGAACAGACAAGTTGCTATCCTTTTGTTCTTCAGTCTAGTTGTTAGTTGTGGAGGATGTTGCTTCACTGGCCCAAGTTGGCACCATCATTGCACTCTTCCTGAGTGAGGCAGATCAGTTGCTGGCTTCTGGACGGCCGCTCACAGCGGCTGCTAGCAACACACGCTGGCTGCTGGCTACACACGGTAGCCCATGGCAACCTACCTGCTGTCGCCGGCGACTCTCGGCAGCCCACCTCCAGGTTGAGCTGTTGTTCAGCATCTTAGCTGTAGAGAGCAGTGTCACTGGCCCTCATATGTGGGATCTGAACTGGGACCCTCTGGCACCCCAAGCCAGCTCTTAACCAACGCGCCACTCAGCCGGCCCAAGTATTTTTTATTAATTATAATAAGAAAACATTTTGCATACTTTTTTTTAAAAAGATTTTATTGGGGAATTGGGGAAGGGGAACAGTGTTGGGGAACTGGGGAAAGGGAACAGCCAAGTTGTTGTCTTTCAGTCTTAGTTGTGGAGGGCGCAGCTAACTCAGCTTCAAGTCCAGTCGTCATCCGGCCGCCTGTAGGCAGCTTGTGGCCACTCAGCTCAAGGTGCTGTGTTCAATCTTAGTTGTGGGTGGGCATAGCCCACCACCCCATGTGGGAGTCGAACCGGCAGCCTTGTTGTTAGGAGCACATGCTCTCACCAGCTGAGCCATCCTGCCACCTGTTGGCAGCTCAGCAGCAGCTCAGCTCGGGCACAGCTCACTGGCCCATGTGGGAATCAAACCACAACCCTGCCACTCAGAGCTCATGCTCTTAACCAACTGAGCCACTCGGCCAGCCCTGCATACCTTTTGAATTGTTTAAAGAACATGTAAAATCAGTGAAAAACATATCCTGAGGAAGATTATCATCAGATGCTTTGAGACAGGCATGCCCATGCATATACATGCACTCAGAAACTTATTCTGTATGTTCCCAGAATATAAAAGTTTTTTCTTGAGAATCCATTATACACTCTTTTTTTTTAATTTAAAAAAAATTTTTTATTGTTAGTTTCAGGTGTACAGAACAATGCAATAGTTATCCTTTTCACCCTTCACACAGAAACAACCCCCTCCCCCATCTACTGCCCTCCCACCCCCGATATCATACTTATCTATTACAATTCCATTGAC